ACGTTGCGTACTTTGAGGCAGAGCGACGTGTATGTATATATACGTATATATGTATACCACCTCTACCATCCACGGACGATTCACAAGCCTCCAAGTGAAAAGAGGAAATGGGGGAAGGCCGGTGATGTAGAGCACGGTAGAAAAAGCTTTCTCCCGAAATCGATTGCGCCTTCGCTCGAGACAGTTCGGGCTAATTCGGCCAGGATCGGTTGATTTCAAAAACGTTCGATCTTGCGAGCAGACGCGGTAAACGCGTAATTACGTTTTTTCTTTTCTTTTCTCATTTTAAAACAGTCTAAAAAGAGGGAAGGGAAACAAGGTTTTTCGTTTCGAAAATTTCTTTTTCTTCTTCTTCTTCTTCTTCTTCTTCTTCTCGTCCTTCGTTCTTCTCGATTAACGATTATCGGGGAGAAACGGATCGATAACGGTTGAAAACGATATAAACGGTCACCGAGACGGATGGTGAAACTGCGAGACAATTCGTTAACCGCGTTATTCGAGCTATTTCCTGGGGAATTATTGTCGTGGCGCTTAACATGCGCCTGTATATCACCATTGGACTATCAAGATAGAGTAAAGCTTGGTGTCTCGTAAGTCACCGAGTTCCTCCTGGGAGGTGCACGCCAACTTAGCTAGCTAGATAAAGGATAGGTTGAACGATTGGTTGATTTCGTCTCTCGGAGGGAAGGGGGAAATTTCATTCCCTTGATCGAATATGAGCCGGTGATCGAGGGCAAAGAAAGAAAAACTCCTCCCTTGCCCTTGTAAAGTGAATTTTAAAAGGCATTTTTTACGAATAAATCTGGGAAGGGGAAAACAGGGATTTCTCTCTAATCCAAGATCGTACTCGGGACCTTCTTCTCTCCTTACAACTTGTTACGATCGTGTTTTCCTTACGTAGAAAGTGGAATTTGTTGCTGTCATGCGGGGTTATTACGTCATAACTTGTCTCCGGGAGAATCCCATTTTCGAAAATCCTCTTTCGTCGAGAGACGAAACTCGCTATTCCGTCTACTTAGAGCGCGATAGCGACCGAAAGTTAATTGGCGAAAAACGAAATAGGAAAAAAGAAAGAGCTCGGTCGTTTCGAACGAATACCTGGAATTGGCGCGGTCCAAATGGAGAAGCCGAGCTTTGAGAACTAATTATGATAAGGAGCAATAGCCGTTGTCAGGTTCCTTTATCCGGAAAGAAAGTTGGGAGGGAGGTACGTACGAAAGTACGCGAACTTAATTATCAGGCGAGGTTCCAGAGGAGAAGGAAAGAGAAAGAAAAGAAAAGAAAAGAAAAGAAAAACAGGCCTATAAAGTCGCTTTTGACATCGGGGAACAATGGATTCGAAGGTTTCCCTTTCCGTTGCTCCATTGGGAGCGAAGGAAAACAGGTTGGGGGAGGTTCTCGAGTTGCCCGTTGCCCGGTTCTCCAAGTTGCCGTGGCGAAACTCGGGAGCGGGCAGGCCAGAAAAGACTGGCCCACGACGAGGCACGTCCCGAGGGAATCCAATCAGAGCGAGGAGCATGCTCGAAGCGTCTAACCTCCGCCAACCTCTCGAGCACAAATCTCGAGCACCTCTCGACGAGGCTCGACGAATGGCCGGAATAAGATTTACAGCATCCACCTTGGAAAAGAAAATCCGGGTCTCCTATTCAGCGGGGAGCTGTCAAAGTGTAATCAAGAAATTCTGATTACACCGCCGCTGATCGATCACGCTTGCCGGGATTCTATCCCGCTGCGAGCGCCGGGACGCGGCCGAGGAATGTTCACCACGTGACTCGAATACCTGTCGCGTTGCCCCAATCGAAAATATCTTATCCAATGGGCGAAACCTATCCCGGATTCCAACGAGCGTAGACACGCGAGAGAAACCCTCTCGTCCAATAATTTCATTAGATTCTTCCATCTCCCTCTCTCTCTCCCTCTCTCCCTCTCTCTATCTCACTTCGTCACGTACTAACAGCGAGCGAGCACGACTCTCGTTGATCCATATTTCTGGATTGTATTCCGACGTTTGCTTCCCTCCCGCCATCAACATCACCCTTCGTCCCCGATCCGATCGATTCGAGTTCCATCGAAAGGACGGTGACGAAGACAGCGCGAGATCCAAGTAACGTCGAAAAAGAACGAAAAAGATCAATACCCACGCGTCCTCCATTCGTTGACCCTGACTCCTCCACGAGGCGACCCCATAATAAAGGTCCTTTTCCATCCACGACGAGAGGGGGAATGGGGTAGGAAAATTCGGGCGAGTTCAAGATCCGCGTGCGTGTGTACTGGGTACAACCACCGAGGTAATGTCGTCGTCACGCGATTCAATCACGTAGCATAACATTCCGAGACCATTAACACACACGCGCCGAGTGTGTTAGATTTGGAAACACACGTGCATGGAGATGCGTCCGCGTTGCTGCAAATTTCGCGAAACAGGCCAAGTGTAATTGGATGCTCGGCTCGTTTCGGAATTTTTTCGATCGACGGTCGCTCTGTTTCTACTTATTGTCGGGTATAAATGTATACAGTTTTCGTAATGGAAAGCATTTAATGGCGATAGAGCAATTCTTACCGAATTGAAAATTTAGATCGAAATAATTTCGATCGAATTAAAATTCGATTTCTCTTTGCGTTGATGTTACGTTTCGACGAAAAAAAGTACGATGGAGAAATCGTCGTTTGCTAATTTATATCGCGTTGATTCAATCGAATTTCATCATTTATTACTTTTTCATGCGAAGAAATCAAGATTTTTTTATAAATAAATACGTATTTTCGTAATAATATCAACGTTTAATAATTTAATCGATTAGATGGATCGGAATTTCCGTGGGAAGAAAATCGATAATCTAATTTTCCGCGTTTCAGGATCGCCTCTTTGAAGAGTGCACACGGTCAACGCGTGGAAATCCTTAGGGCAAAGCCAGAGATCAGCCAGGGGACTAAATCACGAAGACTCATGGCTTTGCAAACGGCGCGAAGAGGATCAAGAGTACAAGAGCCGAGTCTCTGTTTGATCACCTGCAACGTTGAATCCAAAGGGAGCGGGGTAACGAGAATATTCCGTGACAAACGAACGACAATTATTTCCGAAACGCGGAAAGAACGATATACACCGAGTTATTTATATTGTCGCGTGAAAAAGAACAACCGCGATAACGTTTCGAAGCAATAGCTCAAAACTATCTGTAATTGTTCGCGATCCGAAGAAAGTCGACGCGACGAAGACAATAGGAGCGTAGCACCACGTCGAGGAACTAATCCCTCGACAAAGTCGATCGATCGTTTTATGTGCGTGTATATATATATATATGGATGGAGATAGAATAGAGAGAATATGTTTGGTTTTGGAGATGCGCGGAGGAATCCGTGGAAGCGGATTGAAGCGGCGACAGGGTCGTCCGGCGAGGAGCGTGGACAATCGAGCATCTCTCGGCGACTCGTGCGCGACCCCGAAGAGAGCGTTATCGAATCGAGGATCTTCGCAGATTTTCGGGGAGGTTCGTTCGGCCACGGATTCTCCC